GCTTCGACACCTCAGCCGGAATCCTCGTCGCCGTAAAGACCCTTACCCTCCCAAATCCCGCCGCACCTCTACCAGAAGCAACGATTCTGCAAAACCTAGGCCGCCACGGCAACATCGTCCGTTACTACAACAGTGTCCTGAGTCCACCTCATCCTTCTCGCCTCCAATTGATTTTCGAATACTGTCCCAGAGGCGATCTACTGGATTACCTGGATACCTTGGATGGTCCCATCCCCGAACTATTCCTTTGGCATGTGTTCAAGCATATCGCTTGTGGTCTAGCTTTCCTGCACAGCCGCGGCATCGTACACGGCGATATCAAACCCGCCAACATCCTCCTCACCGCGGCGCGAGAAGGCGAGCGCTTCTCCCTACCCAAGATCGCAGATTTCGGCGCTGCGTCATGTAACCCCTTGCCAGAAATCCCACGAGGCCACATAGGTACACCGTCCTTCCAACCCCCCGAAGCCGACCTTCGCCACGGCCCCGAATCCGATATGTGGTCCTTGGGAAGCATGATGCACGAACTGATACTGGGTCGTGTACCCATGCAGAAAGTGCGGGAGCTGGAGACTGATGCCGAGACTTGGTTTGGGGGGAGTGGACGGGAGATACCGGATGGTGTTGTTGCGCGTGATCTCTATAAGGAGTTTTGTTACTACCAAGCTGGCCACGTTGTTGAACGTACACGCATCGATTGTCCGTCGGAGTATACGACGAAAGTGTACAGTACCCTGCTGAACCATTTCATGATGCGCGCTCTGGACCTCGACTGGGGGAAACGTATCACGGCTAGCCAACTGTGGGACCTGTTGCCTAAGCTCGAAGCTATTGTGCAGGATCTGCATATCCTGGGCACGCCTGATCTTCTCGATAACGACGATAACCTCGAAGATCGACAGGACGTGAATGGTCAAGAGGTCGCATGCGTCACAGACTCCCAGATGCTGCGACAACTGTTCGAGAGATTGGCACGGTGTGCGGATTGGGCGAGTCATCAGGAGATGCGGAGGAGAGGGATGCAGTTGTTGTTTCTTATGGAGGAAGAGGATCATTTTGCGGTTTTTAGGGCGCTGAGGGATGTAAGGGGGTTTTGGGGGATGGAGTGGTGATGTGGGGTGGACGGTTAGGGGGGGGGGGGATGCAAACGCGGTTTGGACTCAAGCTACGAAGTCAGACTGCTGAGGGTGTACTGGGTCCATCAGGCCGTCCTGCAAATCATGATATCACTATTGATGGGAATGATTCTCAAATGGACAACATTGGTTTTCCAGATTATCATGCCGCGGTGTCGCAACTCAAATTGCCGTGGACAAGAACACCAAGTGTGCAACGGATGTCGGTGATAAACTCTGGCTTGTCCGAGTTGCAGCATGAAAAGGGATACATTATCATTACCGCGAGAAAGCAAAATCATGTACCGGCGTCCCCCCTCACAGCCTCGCCGACTCCCTGACCTCCAACCCAGCCATAATCCCCCGACTAATATAATCACTAATCGCCATATTCGTGACCATAGGATTGACGCCACTAGCGCTGGGAAAGACACTGGCATCCGCAACGTAAAGACCCTCAGTGCCCCAGACCTTGCCCTTGGGATCCACAACACCATCTCTCTCCTTTGCACTCATACGACACGTACCCATCTGATGCGCAGACACATACACAGTCTCGGGCGACGGCAGCCCCTTGTTCCTTATCTCATCAAGCCAAGCCACAAACGCAGGGTCGTTGATGCCATCTCCAGACGGTCCCGCGGGGTCGCGGATAAACGGCCGCATATTGGGTATAACGGTGAAGATCTCAGATGCGCCTTCCACATACTGTATCTTCGCCAGCGCAATAACGCCCTCGAGCACATGTCTCTTATCGTAATTACTCGTCTGATACGAGAACCTGACACGTCCATCCACCGGATCCGGATAAACCCTCCCTGTATCCCTATCCCTTGCAATGGATATATACCCAACCATGTGTTTCAGCTTCGCAGCATCAATCTTATACTGCATCGCAGACTTCCAGTCCACCCACATCAGACACGCCGAGGGCACCATATTCGTGGCTTCGAGCTTGACGCCGTGGCCTGCGTTGTCCATGTTTTCGAACTCGGAGACGACGGACGTGAGGATGCCGCCTTCCCATGGTTTTATCTCTTCGGCGTGGTACGCGCCGAGGAAGGTGACGGGGTGCAGGTAGAGGTTTCGTCCGATTTGAGGGTTTTTGAGACCGGAGCGGAGGAGGAGGAGAGGGGATTGCATTGTCCCGCCGGAGACGACGACGCGTTTTGCTTTGATGAGGACGCGACGGGTGGTTAGAGGCGTGCTGGAGACGCCGCCTTGGGCGTCGCGAGAGGTCCACGTCCCGAGGACGCCGGTTGCGACACGCTTGCCGCTTTTGTTGGAGAAGATGATCTTCTCGGCGTGGAAGCCTTCGATAAATTTGGCTCCTGCGCGCGCAGCGTCCGGGAGAAAAGACACGACAGGGCCTTGCTTTTCGCAGGAGCCGCAGCCGAAGTTGCAGTAGCCGCAGTAGTGTTGCTGGCCGCCGGTGTTTTGAGGCACAGGCGCAGCGTTCCAGCCGAGTTTGCGGGCGCCTTCGAGCAAGATCTCGTTGTTGCGGTTTTGCTTGATGTTCTTGTCTGACACGCCCATTCGGTCGCAGACGCGATCGAGCGATTCTTGGAACTGGGCGGATGTGAAGAAGGGGAGGCCGCGGGCTGCCCATTCGCGGCGGACGTAGCCTTGGGTTTGGAGGGAGGCAGACCAGTTTACCGTTCCTCCGCCGCCGAGGGACTGGCCGGCTACTACGCTCACTGAACTGTCGTCGGAGGTTAGGAAGGATCCGCTCATGAAGAGGTGGTGCCAGCCGTCTAGTTCGGCCATGGGGAAGTGGTCTGGCGTCCAGTGGTATGCCTTTTCTACTATCAAAACACGATGTCCGGCTTCAGCGAGGTTCTTCGCCGTCACACCAGCACCACACCCACTACCCACAACCACCACATCTGTTTCAATAATCTCAGGTTCGTCACCTGGAGGTATCTGGATAAACTCATAGTCGAAGCCCTTCCCAGGCCTCATACCAACAGGCACGCGGGGTGCACCTATTACGCGTCTCAGCGAAGGCGACGTCTTGATCCAAGCCTGCTTAGTGATAATCACCAACGAGCGGCGCAGTTGGCGAAGCGGTCCCAACCGCGCGGTAGCCCAGCCCTGGATTATCGACTCCCTTACATGAGCGGGTTGCTCGCTGATTGGCGTGAGATAGCCCGTCAAAGCCAGTGACCCCGCCCGCGTGTTGAGGACATTCAACACCATGCACAGGTCCTTTCTCTGGTTCTGCGGCATGTACATGGCGAAGACGCGCTGCAGCTCCGCTCGAAACGCCGGATCCTGACTCGCATAGTCGTCGAGATACTCCTTCACCGCCGTCTCCGCATCAGGATCGTTTCCGGGCGCTAGAGCCCTCAGCTTGCTGACCGCAGTCGAGTAGTCGGTGTCGGTTGCGGCGAGTTCAGTCTGCGTCTTCGCCGTGGAGATGGGCTTGATTGCTGGGATGACGGCATCCGTGATAGCAAGTAGCGTCTTCCATTGTTGAGGCGTGAGCGGATCCTCAGCTGGGAGCGGAGGCAGCGGAGTAGCTTTCGGCGAAACGGGCTCAGAAGGGAGTGTTGTTGACATCTTGCCACGTAGTTTGGTTTGTGTTCAGGGATAGCCTGGATGTCGCGCGTGGACCATCAAAGGGTCTTGAAGGTGGAGCTGTCGGGCATGCTAAGGACGCAGGCGTCGTTTTGTTTTGTTTCCAACCGTGTCCACTGCGAGAGATGAAGCAACTTCCCCCGCGCCACATGCCGTGCCATTGTTGACGTCTGCTAGCCCGTGGCGGTTCGGTGCCTCGGTTCAGAAAACAAAGTTCATCGACGTGTCCCGGCGGAGGGTTGCCAAGGCTGCCGTTGCTCGTGGATGTCGGAAGGACAGATTCGCCGGAGCCGCCATTGGACGTCTTTCAAGGGCTATAGAGGACGTCGGGATAGGTTAAATCCTGTGATGTCTTGCATTGATCTGCGCGGCAGATCTCAGTCGTAGTTATGTTAGCTGTCGATGAGTGTGGGCCGTTGCGCAACTCAGCGTCGTAGACTGCGGATCTCTCATCAATGCATTGGAAGAGCGTGTCCATGTGATCCGAAGTTCTGGCGGTATCGTGAGGTTGCAGTGGCCGGCGGCGCAGCGTTAGTGAGGCGAATATCCGACGATGGTGGGTGGGTCGGCTCGGTCTTTGAACCAGGATCAGACGGGCGCTTCTTCATCTCGGCGAATCTGGCCGGCGTCTCCAAGACTCCAACGGAGGGAGTCGCTTATCTCTGGATCTAGCAGGAGTACTCCAACTACGCTCGCGCCGTACCTAGGTATGCAGTTGAACTGCCTGTGTTTGCTCAAGTCACAACATAAGACTCGTAACTCAAGACATTGGCCGGCCAAACTTGCATCTCTTGTACCTTCGTCCATATCCTTGCGCATGGTGTAGTCAAAAGAAACTACCGACACACGCGCAATCTTAGAAGCTCGAGCGAACTTCGTGCGAGGCAAATCCTATCAAGGATTATTGCGCAACGTCCCCACGAATCCAATGATCCGGTTGAATCCATCCGGCAGGATCTGGTCGGTGCGCCTCAGGAACATGCAGGGGACCGACTAGAAAGCCATCTCCTGCTAGGCGAGATGAGGTTTCCACAATGCCACTGTCTGTCAAGACACTTGTTCAATGCCTCTTTGGGTGTGATTCCGATGGGAGCATTTGCACTCGAGACTCGATTTCGGTCCCAACAGTTCTTTCTTGGAGAGCAAGCGGCCGTTGGTGTAAGGTATTGAAGGCTCGCTAGTCAAGGCACGTACGTCAGTGCTACCTAGACAAACTAAGATGTTGACTTCAGCTTAAAACTGTGATTAGTTTAATAGCTACAGAATTAGGTGCTCTGTCTTCATGATTTCGCATCGAACAATCCCCTACCGGATCCTCTCCAACCTAGCGCGCATATGCGCTTTACTTCGTGCTTCACATTCCGCAAACTCGCTCTGAGGACGGGGTTTGTTTTCTTCTTTCCAACGCTGAATCTGTTCGTCAAGGCTCGCCAGCTGCTCATCCAGCTGAGCAATCTTAGCCGTGAGTTCGTTTATCTTGTTCGTGCAGATGATCTTCTTATCCTCCTTCTCGCTATCGAAGATATGCCTGGTCTCTTTGTTGAGCTCAGAGAGCTCTTGCGTCGCGGCTATAAGATCCTTCTCGTGCCAGCCCTTGAATGATTTGCTTATACTCGCGTCTCCTTCCAAATGCAAAAGATACTGCCCAGACGTGTCTCTGCAGATTGCATGACCTGGCGAACGCATTGCGATGCGAGATGGTGGATGATGGGTGTAGCTTTGGGAAGTTAGAGATCGTACGGTTGGTGGACATGGGTAAGAGGCTGGGTGGTTGTGACGTGACGTAGTGACCCAAAAAGCGCCGCCGAACATCACATGAAAGATGTTCTTCAGCTTCACCGTCACTTTTACTTCGGTGCAAGAGATGCCAAGATCTAGCAACACTTGGGACGACGAATAATGATGAATAGCTGATGGAAAGGATGCATTCGAATCCGTGACTTCATCTTGGACGTTTGTAATTGTAAAGGTGACGAGGACTTACCATGCAATCACACTCGGCATTACCAAGACTCTATTCAGACTTCAGTCACCAGAAACTTTGTTCAGGCTCCTCGTGGTTCCTTCAGGAAAGTTGCGGATACGGTGGGGGGTCTTCGGATGTCAGCGTCGCAAGGTTTGGTACGATGTCAAAACCACAACCGGGGATCGCTGCAACGCCACGCAGCACTGCTTCACGATGCACGCACGGTCACAACACCAATACGAACAACGACACTACCGCTGCCCTTAAGCGGGCACGATTTCATTAAGCGGTCCCACATCAGCCAAAGATCGTGAAGTCTGGCCGAATAGCCTCAAGTCCACTTGGAGTGGAGCATAATATATTGGATAATTGCGTCGCGCGCGCCTTGCTCGCGTGGCTACAGAGTGGATGAGGTGCATTGAACAGAATACAGTAGTGGCCAAATGCCCCGCCAGTTGTTGCAAGCTGGCCGTACTTGAGCGGGATGGTAGGGTGTGTGGCGCCTCTCGCGGCATACTTGCCTGTCGTTTAGCTGTGATGTCAAGGCATGTCTATCATGTCTATCAACGTCCATCACCGCCTCTTCTTGCGTTTGCGCAGGGTGTCGCAATCAAGATATGGGGTGAGTGCTATGTCATCACTGTACGGGCGCCCCAGGAAATGAGTTCACGCTTGACGCAGCAGTTCCGTCCTCGGAGAAGGTTGAGGCGTTGCTTTTCTTTTGCAGAGGGCGTGATTGGTTAGAGATAAGGGACGCCCAAACGGGCACAGTGGGGCCCAACGGCTGGCCGCCTCGAGAAGAGGCGAAACGGTCGTGGTGAAGGAATGAGGGTTGCGCTGGGGAAGGGGGAAATGGGGCGTTCGCGTAGGAGATAGAGTCTATTCTCAGCCTAGGAGACTTGTAGTTGTCGAGTCTTTTCAAGTAGAGTGGGAGGGCAGCGTGAAGACAGCGAGCTCGATGCGACGGCCATGTTACAATTAGAATCTCCCAAATGGCCGGTCGTAGCCCGATGATACCCTGTCGTTCGGTCGGTCGCCAAGGGTGCAGGCATCCCCCTTCGGGCATGGCCGCCCATCCGTCAGTTCGCTGCTGGGAAGAGGTCCTGGAGCAGCTGGCGGGCGACAACTTAATTCATCCTGTCCCCAGAGCCTCACCCCAGGTCTCCTCCGCACTCACGCGACACCGCTGTTTCTTATCTACACCTATATCCGCCTCACTCGACGCATATCACATATACGACCACTACCACGACCACGACTATATTCACTATCATGTCCTGCTAAACCACGGTCGACTGTTGGCCCCGGCGTCTGTTGTATCACCGCCCTCGTCTCTTATCGCCTGCACGTCAGCTACCAATTGACACGCACCCTCACCACCAACACGTCCCCAACCGTCCCCAAGGAGCCGCACGCGTCCTGCTGGCCTGTCAGCGTCGTCTGCACCCGTCGCACCACTGCAGAGCCACTGATAGCCTCCCGCTCCCAAAGGCCTGTATCAGACACTCCAGCGCACCAATACCAGCGCAGCACTTCACCGCCTGCACCACGTATCATACGTCTCTCTCGACTTCTCGCCAACCTCAACTCCTCCCGTCACCATGGCCACGACCTTCTCAACCGCGACTGCGATCCCGCAACACGCACCCTACCAGCACCACGCCTACCGCAAGAGCACCCACTCGCAGTACTCGCCCACGCATTCCGGCGTCAACACGCCCGCCAACGTCTCGCCCACGTCGCCGCGCACCACACACCTGCCCCTCGCCCGCCACCAGGGCATCTACCAGCCGCGCACCGCCATCGGCATCCCCGCGGCGCTGCGCAAGACGGAGAAGCCCAGCAGCAAGTCGCCGCCCAAGGTCGACTCGGGCGTGTCGTCCCCGAACCAGGGCTGGTCGGCTGGGACCTACGGGTGGGTCGCCAACGAGGGCAGCGCGACGCCCGTCTCGCAGATTGGCAATGAAGACATGCAGAGCCTCTACAACGCCGAACCACTGTCGCCCGTTGCGGGGCCAATCACACGCAACCACTGGCAGGTATGTATTCGCGCCTTTCCTACTTGTCCGCTATGCCGCTGCTAGCCTGTCCGTGCTTCCCTGTCGCGTGCTCACCTGGCCTGCGAGGGGACCGTCTTACGTACATGGTCCGGTCCCACCGCCTAGCGTGCGTTGGTCTGGCCTCCCGCTGTCTGCAGAGCCGATATGCCGAGCCCTCCAATTCAGCTCAACAAGACGCCTGGGGGGCAAACTCGGCGGCCAAGGTCGATCATGTTGTGCATGTCGCCTTGCCATGGCCTTCGGATAATTTCCATCGTCTGCCGGCAAGCACTGCTTCTGTCCAGACCTGCACGTCGTCCCCCACGCTAGACCTAACCCTACTCTTTTACCCGATGCAGGGCTGGAGTCCGGGCTGTTCGGGCTAGCGACACCTGTCCACTTGTCCACAATTCAGAGTTGCCGTTGCGTCCAGAATCCACACTAACTCATCCCTAGGCCGACGGTTCAACATCGGTGTGCTCGGCATCCAGCTGCCAGGAGCCCTTTGGCTTCTTCCAGCGGCGCCACCACTGCCGCAAGTGCGGCGGCATCTTCTGCTGGCAGCACTCGCACAACAACGTGCGTCTCGACGAGCTCGCCCGCTTCCACCCAGAAGGCCACTGGCACCGTGCCTGCGACCGCTGCCACAGCTCCTTCCGCGAGTGGGAGCATCTCCGCTCCAGCCGCACCAACAGCGAGAGCTCCGATAGCAGCAACAGCAACAGCCCCGCTCCCGCAAAGTCCATCGAGACTCCTGCCCCGGCTAAGCGTCCTGAGAACACGCGCGTAGGCAGCCTCGCCCAGAGCTTCCAGGGCACGTGGAACTGGAGCACTTTCTAAACATGGGCGTTTGCTTGTTATCGCCGCCCACAACTTCCTTCATATCTTCATGACACCTGGACGGACGGACGGACCGATCGGACTTCCTGCTCCTGGCGTACTCTCTTTTGATGATATCCGGAGGGATCCAGTATTGTCGTACCGGCACTGGTCCCATTCCACCTTTTCACTTGCTTCGACACGAAGCTTTCTGCATCTGCATCATCTAAACTGCATAATATCGGCGTCTCTCTCTTGCTTTTTACAACATGGCGTCTTCACCAATCACGGGGTCGGTGGTCTGCGTGTTTTCTCTCTTGTCCTTGCGATTTAGCGTTTTCATTCAACAATTTCAGAGAATGGTCTTCTCTCTCACACATTTTCTCGATCTCTTCCTTTGTGGAGTCGACAAAGATGTTACTGTGTTTTACGGCCGACGAAGATATCCAGAATAATGATTGTTGGAGATGAGTCTTTCTTTCGATGGATCTGTGGTGGTGGCGGCACGCAGTGATGTGCGACGGACGCACGTCTGTTCGAGAAGCCGTGCGTCCATCGCACATCACTGCGTGCCGTCATGACCTGGACGGCTCTAGGCGGTTGGCTGATTGTTATTCGGCTGGGTTGTATATGGTTTATCATGTGGTATGGTATATGAGGGAGATGGTGTGGTGGGTGTAGTTTGTTGAGATGAGATGAAATTACATTGGTATATTCTGAATTCGGGAGTGAAAACGTGTTTTGGTGATGTGCGGGATGTGTTGATGTATGGGAGAAGACATGGCAAGAGGGTTCTTCCCTCTACTTCCGCGCGTGTGTGTGTATCGGTGAGGTGGTGGGCATGCGCATGTATATGTAGTTGGCGTGACTCGCATGTTGTGATGTGGTACCCTGATGGCGTGATGTCGGTCAGGGTTTGGTCGGGCGAGGCTAAGGGCAGGTGTTTGATGCATGTGGATGCTGCTTGTGGGTAATGTACCATAGTATTGGAACTGTTTGGCAGTGAACCCAGTAGTCGAGAACTATAGACGACGTTCACAAATGCGTTATATCTTAGCATCTCCCTTGTAAGGTATCGAGCATGGATGGAGTCGTAGAAACATCTCCACCAACGTGGACCTACCCCAGTATCAAGAACTCCAAACACAATCATGAAAACAGTATGACAAGAACAAAAATACACAAGTAAAGAAAGAGACACAACATTCCACATCACAAACAAACTCCATGACTCCTCCCCATGCTTCGTTCGCACAAAGGCACCATGCGGAGATACCCCGCACTCCGATTGGTCAGATGCAGTGGAGTGCTGATGGCGTTTTTTTGCTGGACGAGCACGACGACGTTTACCGCACGAGTCATCGAGGGATTCTGGTGAGATACGCGAATCTGCCTTGTACATCGTTTGATTTATGCGCTTGATCTAATCTTACTCGAACTTGCTCCGCATTTACGGGTTTGCGACTTTACTGCACGCGCTTCACTTGCTGGCTCGACACCTGCACGATTTCGCTCAACGGATCTCGCTGCGCTCAACACCACTGCGCCCACTTCACTTCGTTCGACGTCCGTCGCCATACGTCCTTCTCTTCTCCAAGCTTTTGGGGGCACCGTCGCCCCCAGGTCAGCAAGAGGATTTCCGAATCGATACTTTGCGCAGATGGCGACAATGGCTCAGACAGCGGTGCAGGGGAATGGGGAGGTGGCGGGGACACTGCACAACACTGGGAATGGTGCTGCGCAAGAAAACGGAAGCAGTAACGAAGCGGCGCAGTCGAACGGAAAGAGGAGGAAACTACATGGGCGCGCATTCTATGAGAGTATCGGCAGTCCAAAGCTCATCCTTGCGCCCATGGTCGAAC